TTATAAATAATTCATTCATCTTAAAGTGAAGAAAATTTAAGCAATGTGATATTTAATTAGAAAAATAATTGTTTTTTACTTCATCAAGATAAGATTCTTTTTCAAATGAACGTGTAATCGATAGAATAGCTGAAGCAAATCGACTATTTTGTAATGTAAAACTAAATAAATAAAATTTCGTTTTTTATACATTTGAAAATTAAATTCTAACGTATTAATTAAATCTGAATAATTATTTTTATAAAAATTCCAAACGATTTCTCTTCCAACTGCATGACGACTCATATAACCCATCATAGTAAAATAATCTTGAAGTTTTATTGTATTCGATCCACCTATTAATCCTTCGTTGAGTAATCTTTTGAAAGAAAATAAAAACAACTATGAATTATAGTTTTCAGAATTTTTGTAATTTTCTTACCGATTTAATCGATCTTTATTATTTGTTGAACTAATTGCCACTAAAGCACGAGTTTGTTCGTGTGTTGATGTAGCTATTTGATAATAATTGTACATTTGATTCCAATCATTTTCATTATCATCATTTTTTAAATGATATGTATACACAGATGATAAAAAATCAGCAGGAACACTAAAAACACAAACATAAATTCAATATAATATCAATGAAATATACTCTTGCTCAATATCGACATTATCATTATTAAAATATTCTTTCGGAATCGATTGAAATAATAAACTTGCTTTTTCAATAGCACCGCGATGATTCATTCGACAAAGTAATGCAAATTGTAAACTTTTTACTAATTTCGTATTATGATTATCATTAAGATGTAATGTTAAAATATTCTCAAGTGTAACATCATTCGAAAGAATTTGTTGAATAGCAAAATTCTAAAAATAAAATAAGAATTTTAACTATGAAAAACTTTTCTTTTTTTGTTCACTTGAAATTTCGTTAATGTATCAGGTAAATAATCAATTAAATCAGCTAATATATCCCAATGATATTGAAATGTTTTCCAATGAACATATTCCGTCATATTTAATTTTCCTAATGATTTTATAATTCGTAATGACTCATGATAATCAATTAAACCTTTATAAGCAAGTAAAAATGTATCCTGTATTAAATTAACTTTATCTTCGTTTGAAAAAAACTAAATAAGAAAATAAGTGAGAGATTGATGAGAATAAAATTTCATTTACTGTTGGTTGTGCTTCGAATACAGAAGTAAAACGTTGTGATGAAAATGAATATTTCGTTACATGGAAACTTTGAAAATCTCGATTACATTTAATCCATGAATAAGATTTATCAGATATTATTTGAATTTTTTGTTCATCGTCAAGAATAAAATTGATTTTATCATTACCTATATCGATTATATCAGAATCGGAATTATGATTTCCACCTAAAACACATTCGAGATTGATTTTCCATCGATAATCTTTATTTAAATGTGATATATTGAATATATCGGATAGAATAAAACGTGATTGAGTAAATGTTAATTTAGTTGAATTATTTTCAATATTTAAATCAATATTTACTAATGGATAATTCATTTCATTTAACCAACTTTTCATAAATTCTTTTCCATTCGTTCTATTAGTTAATAATGTATCATAAAATAGATTAAGATCAGCAACATTAAAAGCATTTAGTTTTAAATATTCTTGTAAATTATGACGAAAATTTTCTGCACCAACTATTTTTTCCAACATTCGCATTAAACTTATACCTTTTGAATATGTTAATCCATCAAGATAACTCATTATTTCTGGTACAGTCACAGCATTTTCAACAATAATCGGATGTGTATATGGTTTCGCATCATTCCACATAATTGGAATTGTATCATCCGTTAAGATTTGTAATTCCTTTTACATCAGAATAAATAAAAGAACTGATATTAATCTTTATATTTCCTACCATATTCCAATCAGAATATTTTTCTGCAAACGTTTTTCTACAAAGCCAACTAACCATTACTTCACTAAACCAGAGATCATTCCACCATTTACATGTTACATAATTTCCGAACCCTAAATTAATGTTTTTTGCTGTCAGATGATAATTCTCAAGTGAAGTTTGACTTACAAGAATGACCAATTTCATGAGCGACAATATCTGCAAATTGTTGTTTTTGTAATGTTGTTGCAATTTTTTCATCATAAACTATTCGTTCTTCACGAAATGAAATTAAACCTGAACTTTCCATTGCAGTTGTTGCCATATCATATATTGCCAAAATATCTAATTATCCCGTTGAAAATATCTTATCTATTATTTCTAAACTAATTCTTCTACCTTTCTTAGGAGGTAAAGCTTCAGTTATATTAAAATAATTTTTATAAAATGGAATTGCATTCGAAGCAATTGCAAGTGCTAATGTCGTATGATTTTTTTCTGTCAGTTCTGGTCGTGCCCATATTGTTACCTAAATAAAATAAGATAAACTATTTTCAAATTCTTGATATTCGATACCATTGGTGAATTGTCATTGTCTGAAATTTTTCCATATGTATCTGGAAGAATTGACCAAGACACAACATATGTACTCATACGAAATGTTTCAGCAAATGTTGTATGACGTAAATTATTTTCTATGGTTTGATTTATCTTTAAAAATAATAAATGAAATAAGTCGGTCATTGGCTAAAAAAAGAAAGATTTTTGATGAAACTTACAACTGGAAAATTTGCTAGAGCAATTGTATTTTGTGGATGAATAATATGAATATTAAATTGAGCTTTTAAATGTGGTTCATCGAAACAAGGAAATACTCGTCGAGCTTCTGTTGCTCGAAATTTTGTTGCTAATAATGTTCTAAACAAAAAAAGTCTCCTTCTTTTTATATATATATATTTTTAAGATCATGATTTACCCATTTGCTTGTTTTTTATCTTTAAAAAAACTTTGATAAAATCCAATACTAGGATTATTTAAATTAATAACAAATTTTTGTATTAATTTATATCGATTCATTGGAAATAAAGAATTATTTAATAAACGTATACTTATATAATCATGTGGAAGATATTTTTTTATTAAAATAGAATGTTGCATACCATTTTCGAATAAAATTGGTTCTTCTAATTGAATCATTTCTTTTGCATGATAAATTAATTGTTTTATTGGTTTTCTTAAATTAAAATCAATTGTAACTTGTCCTTCCATTGTTGTTTGTTTTAAATCATTACATACATATTCTAATTCATAATTATTAACAATTAAATCACTTAATAAACGTGAATTACATTCATCTTCAATACATTGAGTTGGATTTGGTGTAGTTGTTGTTGATGTTTGTGTCTCAATTATAGTTATATAGTGTGTTCGTCGTGGTAGAAGACCAGCTAATAGACCAACAGTGAGAAGAGATGCACAATAAAAAATAATTCCGCAAATAATCCATGATTTAGGTAAACGACGTAGTGATGAACATCGACTATTACTTGATTCACCTAATTCAGTATTAGGTATTGAATTATTTATTTTCATCTATCGTAGTGTTTAACAAAAAGTATTATTCGTATTTTGTTACTAATGTAAGTCAAAAGTGATACGAAATATAAAAAAAAAAAGAATTTATTTTATTGTTCTTACCTTTATTTGTTACTGATAAGAATTTTATGCTGACTGTTAGTCATATATACAATGACTTGCATTTTAATTTATTGCGTACATTTTCAAGTCTTTCTCTCATTTATAACATGTGATAAAACGATTTATTCAAAGTTTGTATTAATCAATTCAATGAACACATACATACTAAAATCTTATTATAATTAACAGATTTTCAATAAATAATCTTCGTGATCTAATTTTTATCAAAGCAAACATTTTCTTTTGTTATTAACGTATATCTGACTTAAGGGTATGAGAGGAAAGTAAAAACAATTCAATTTCATGTATGCTACTCATTTTTTCGATTGTTTTACTCCACGACTACTATTTAAGGTAATATTTTTCTTTTCTTTATTTATTACAGGGAATACTCTCGTGAATAATTAGAAACGTAAATAAGCCTGAGAAGGTCATTTATACATGCATGAATGTATACGATTTACGTTATCGGTCAGCTTTGTTCATTGCATTTTAATTATTTATCGATTTATTCTCTGATTCATGCGTGAGTTACTAAGCAGTAAAATTAATTCAAACATAAGTAAACAAAATATTCTTTATAAGTTCTTTTTTACAGCTTTAATGTTCTTTTTCACATTTATTATATGAGGATGAGTAGGAGGTAATGCACGCTGCCATATGTCCAGAGCACGTTCAGAATATAAAAGTGTTTTCGGATAGTCTTTCATATTGTAATATACATCACCGATATTAATGTACAAAGCAGCGAAATTAGGATGATTCGAAGGAAGAGTTTTTTGCTCAATTTCAAGTGCTTTTTCGTGAGATGAAAGTGCTTTAGAGTACTCTCCCATGTTGTTATACACCAAACCGATGTTGCCGTATGAAGCGACCAATGAAGGATGATTTGAAGGAAGAGTATTTTGCTGAATTTCAAGTGCTTGTTCGTAAAATGAAAGTGCTTTAGAGTATTCTTCCATCTTGCTATACACATTACCGATATTGTTGTATGAAGTAGCCAACGAAGGATGATTTGAATGAAGAATTTTTTGTTTAATTTCAAGTGCTTTTTCGTGAAATGAAAGTGCTTTCGAGTACTCTTCCATGCTCCTATACACCAAACCGATGTTGTTGTATGAAGTAGCCAAATCAGGATGATTTGAAGGAAGAGTTTTTTCTCGAATTTCAAGCGCTTTTTCGTGAGATGAAAGTGCTTTCGAGTACTCCCCCATGTTGTTATACACATTACCGATGTTGTTGTATGAGGTGGCCAAATGAGGATGATTCGAAGGAAGAGTTTTTTGGCAAATTTCAAGGTCTTTTTCGTAATATGAAAGTGCTTTTGAGTACTCTCCCATGTGGTCATACACCAAGCCGATGTTGTTGTATGAAGTAGCCAAATCAGGATGATTTGAAGGAAGAGTTTTTTGCTGAATTTCAAGTGCTTTTTTATAAAATGAAAGTGCTTTAGAGTACTCTCCCATATTGTTATACACCAAACCGATGTTGCCGTATGAAGCGGCCAATGAAGGATGATTTGAAGGAAGAGTTTTTTGCTTAATTTCAAGTGCTTTTTCGAAAAATGAAAGTGCTTTCGAGTATTCTCGCATGCTCCTATACACACCACCGATGTTGTTGTATGAAGCAGCGAAATCAGGATGATTCGTAGGAAGAGTTTTTTGCTGAATTTCAAGTGTTTTTTCGTAAAATGAAAGTGCTTTAAAGTATTCTCCCATGCTAGCAT